GAATCGTAAGCTTACTTTTTATTGGAGTTAATATTGCCCTTTAAAGACGATTTTTTTTTGCGTTTTTGTCTAATATTAAAAATATCATAATAGATAGAAGGAAACTTTGATTACAAAAATTATCAGCAAGACAAGATTACAAAAAAATCAACATAGTTGAATTCGTTTATCGACCCCTGATTAGAGTTGTTACCCTTTAATGACGATTTTGGGTTACAATCGTCATTTAGTATTAACATATAGATTAATAAAGAATTAGCTATGTATAGCTACAAGAGTAAATAAATAAGAAATATACAAGTAATTACATAATTTGGATAAGGAAACAAGAGCAGTGCTGTAATTTGAATCCGTCTCCCTTAGTAGTTTTTAAGGGCAAAACGCCTATATGGAGTCAAAGAAAATTTCAGCTATGTTGATTAATTAGTCTTGTTGTTAATTTTTGCTATTTAATTGTCCATTTATCCATTATATATAAAAAAAAAGAAGATGTGGTATGATTGCCAATGAGACAACTCTCCACAAGAGACCAAAATGACACAGAAATTAACAACTATAGGTCACAATACGGCCTTTAACAATGAGCAAAGCCCATACCGCACAGTCAGCTATAAAAGTTTATGCCCAGAAATGACAATGTAAAACAATTCAAACGAGAAAACTAACGGCCTAAATGTGTACAAAAAATGAACGAATAACAAATATGTAACACATAAACAAACGACAACCACTCAATTACAGGCTCCTGACTTGGGACAGGCATATACATACAGAATGTGGCGGGGTTAAAAATGTTAGCGGGATTCCAACCCTCCCCCTAACCTGGGACAGTGGTGTATCAGTACAATATAAGAACGAACTATAAAAATCAGTTGAAAGAGGCTTAACTCATCAGATGGATAAAAAACAAATACTACAAATACAAGTGGACGTGGCCGGGTAGTTGTACATCCAAACAACAAAAAGACACTAAGTAAAGATCTGAGAGTACTCGCAGTTACTGACAGCTAGTTCAAAGCCACTAACAACTAATAAAAAAAAAATCACGCATCTAAGACTAAATTATCAATCCATACACATCCAAAATCCAATGGATTTAGTGTAAAGACGTCATAAACAGTCAGAGAAACATGACCTTGTGCAATGCCAAGATACAGGTATCGACAGATATGTATATAACAATAATATTTAGTTTGCTTTTAATTTCCAGATAACAAAATCAATATTAATACCAATTAAAACAATATTTAATGATCTAATTACAGTGTTGATTTGGTAACCTTTAAGAATAAGTTTATTTAAAGGATCGATAAGTTTACCAGGATCGTTTCTAAATTTCCGGGCACGGTAAACCATATATCCATAAAAATGAGGACGTGCAATCCCGTTTGAAATAAGTTTTCTACAGGTACAACCAAACTTCAAAACCAAATCTTGTGGAAGAATTTAGTAAAGGTTTTAAGTAATTTGTGAAATGAAATCCCTGGCTTAATAATTTACCAGTAATACATAGCGATAGATTACGTTCATTTAGATTTCAATAGAAATAATTTTGATTTGCTATATTACTTTCTATCCATTTATTTAAGTTTCAAGATTAATACCAAAAAAGAAAAACATGAGGCCCAAGGAAGCTGCATTATGATTGAACTGGTATTTTTGCGTAAAATTGATAGACTAAAATAAGAATAATATTTGCAGCAAAAACGAAAAATCAAATTATTATTCTGACGTGTTCCTTTTTTATATTTCAGTGTATTTATGTCCCTTCAAATATCCTTTATCTCTTTATCATAGGGATGATATGTTTTCTAAACGAGTAAAATATGTGTCAGGTAGATGGTATAAGGATGAGAATGTAAGGGTAAAAAAATCCTTTTGGTCAACCTTAAGATCATTGAATGCACAACATGTTTCAATTTATTTTCATCCTTTATCTGTCACTGTTATTGGGCTGTTTTAATGACAAGGACAAAATAACAAAAATGACACTTTAATTGAGATTCCTATAGCAACCTATTTCCCAAACCTTTAGTTATAAATTATTCCTAGGCAGCAGTGATAGCTTACATTTATTACCTCAATATAACTGGTTGTGGATGCAAAAGTGTGAAATTCTGTCATGCAAAATGCCTATAATTTGCCTCATTAAATACAATGAAAACTCCTTTACTTCAATCAGTGCTGTCCCCTTCTTCCCTTTTTATCAGAATTTAATTTTCATCTTACATCTTACTCATTAAGTGTTATATTTTTATGAACAAATGTCAATATATTCATCAAAATTGAAATGTGTGCATGATAACTGCTTAAAAGGGGTCTTTTTTGTTTGTCAAAACATGCATTTTTGAGGGAAACTCCTTAGGGGAACCTGTTACCATAGCAACAGGGACATCAACAATTTTTTTGTCAACATATTTCTTGTTTGTTTATCGATAGCTACCAACAAACAAAATTTCAAGAAAATCTGAGACTATGCGTGCAGCAACGTGGTTGGTAGTTACAGAGAATTTTTATTAAAATGCGAAAAGAATGATATTGCAATGAACTGTCACAGAGGCTACCTTTTTTCCAATCTTTTGGATTATTTTTTTACCTTGTGTCCAGTCATTGCTATTATACCATCTTGATAGACAAAGATGGAAGGATTATATGCACATAAATCTGGTTTAACCCCACCACATTGTGCTCCTGTACAGTCAGGCAGGGATCTTGACCATGTGTTGTTAGTTGTCTCTGTTTGCTCACCCGTTCCCCATCTGGCAGATTGTCCCCAGCATGCTCAACATAAACATGAAACCTAATAAATAGGCTGTTATTTTTCTTGTTTCTTGTTTGAATTGTTTCACATTTTTCATGATGGAGCCTTTTTTAGCTGACTATACAGTGTGTATTTTTCACATTGTTGAAGGCTGTACAGTGGCTTATAATTGATTACATCCAATTCATTTGAAAGATGGTGGACAGTTGCCAGTGATTGAACAACAGTACATGTATATTGATATCCTCAAATTTGTAAATCATCCTCAAAATCATGATCAGCTTGAAAAGAATTAAAAGAGAAACTTAACAGCTTAATATGAATTCCAATTCAGACCATGGAAAGAAAAGAAAAATTCTCAATATCTAAAAGAAAAATTTAGAACCTGGTGTCATTCCGAAATAGACAGGATGTATATATATATACAGAAGCTGCTGTTAAAATTGTTTAGAATACATATATGATTATGTCCCATGTATCTATTTTAGAAGCATAAAAACAGACACAGTGATTGAACAACAGCTATATAATTATCCTAGCTGTTATACAGAAATTACTGCTGCTAAAATTGATGAAAAGTTACAACTCTATCTAGTCACTGAGAAGTGCTTCGATGTTTATATATAAGCAGCACATAAACAGTAACAAGAAAGGCTGTTAACCTGTCAAATTTTAGACAGCAGTAATTTCATTATTTAAAATTAACAAATTACTGAAGAAAACAGAAACTACATGAGACTAAACAGAAAACTGCACTTCCATTAGACCAGTACATCATGTCCTTACTATGAAATCACATTCTCTCACACCTTCTCTCCCTCTCTACATACCACTCTCAATCATATACCCTCACCCTCTCAATCATTCTCTTTTTCTCCCTCCTTTCCTCACCCTTTCATCCTCTCATGACAACCTTAGCCACCTATCACCTATTCCTCTTCTGCTTGGTGTTTAGTCCCTCCTGTACAGTCAGGCAGGGATCTTGACCATGTGTTGTTAGTTGTCTTTGTTTGTTCATCTTTATTTTCTCGGAGGAGATGGACCATTCCCCATCTGGCAGGTTGTCCCCAACATGCTCAACATAAACATGAAACTTAATAAATAGGCTGTTATTTTTCTTGTTTGAATTGTTTCACATTTTCATGATGGGGCCTTTTATAGCTGACTATACAGTGTATTTTTCACAATTTTGAAGACTGTACGGTGGCTTATAATTGCTTACATCCACTTCATTTGAAAGCTGATGGACAGTTGTCAGTGATTGAACAACAGTATATTAATATCCTCAAATTTGTAAATCATCCTCAAAATCATGATCAGCCTGAAAAGGATAAAAAGAAACCTAAAGGCTAAAAATGAATTCCAGTTCAGATTATTGAAAGAAAAGAAAATTTCTATATATACAGAAGCTGATGCTAAAATTGGTGAAAAGCTACAACTCTATCTAGTCACTGAGAAGTGCTACAATGTTTATATATAAGCAGCACATAAACGGTAACAAGAAAGGCTGTTAACCTGTCAAATTTTAGACAGCAGTAATTTCATGATTTAAAATTAACAGATTACTGAAGAAAACAGAAACTACATGAGACTAAACAGAAAACTGCACTTCCATTAGACCAGTACATCATGTCCTTACTATGAAATCACGTTCTCTCACACTTTCTCTCCCTCTCTACATACCACTCTCAATCATATACCCTCACCCTCTCAATCATTCTCTTTTTCTCCCTTCTTTTCTCACCCTTTCACCCTTTCATGACAACCTTAGCCACCTATCACCTATTTCCCTTCTGCTTGGTGTTAAGTCCCTATCAGAAAAGTTGGTTAGTAGATGAATACAATTTTTATAAGATGTACCAGAAATGGAAGATGATTTTAGAAATATGATCGAAATTTAAAAGTAACTGACATGAAATATATTAGATATATGATACTGAGCCACTTTTGAAAAATGTAGTTCTTTTATTTTCTACACATAATGGTCATCATAGCATTCGTACAAAAGATTAACAGCCAAGGTTACAGAAAGCCAAATTGTATAATGTAAATTTGAAAATAGAATGCTATTTTGATTGATAATCATTATGAATGCCAAAAGTGTATATTTAACTCTTAATTTTGAAGTGTTTTTGGTGTGTTGATGAAAAAATATGTTGCAAAAAATGAAAAAAATGTAATGAAAAATGCCAAATGATAACAAAATCCAAGTAGTTAATATTTATGGCAAAAAGCCAAATGAAAAAATGCCAAAGTTTAAAAATGCCAAATGGTATTTAAAAAAATACCTGTCTGCTTGTACTAGCCAGCCGGCCTGTGGGTTAGCTGGACTTTAAGGTGCTAGTTCACCAAGACAAATGCCTACAGTAAGACACCTTTCTTTTCCTTTTGGAGTACCAGTTTTTAAGTCTATGATTTGACTTGGGGGCTTAATTTTAACTGAAAAAAGATAAAAACAGTCTCTTGTACAATTTAAAAATTTTGTCATAGAAAGTAAATATTCCCTTTGCCCCCCCATTCCCAAATGGATAAAAAATTAAGTAAAATATCCTTCATTTCCCAACTAAATTATTCATAAAATGGTCTATCCACCACACTTGGTCAGACTGAGCCACCAGGCTAGGCTCAGTCTTAAAGATATTTTTGACCTACCCATTGAGCTTGGACAGATTGAGCCACCAGGCTAGGCTCATTGGGAAGACTGAGCCACCAGGCTAGGCTCAGTCTTAAAGATTTTTTTTACCTAGCCATCGAGCTTGGTCAGATTGAGCCACCAGGCTAGGCTCACTGAGGAATCGCACTCAGTTCGTACAAATAGTAGAAGATACTTGATATGTATGAAAGGGGACGTTGTTATACCTAAAAGAGAGGTATAACATCTGTGAACCCTAACCACAGAGACCGGCCTAACTTCGCCATACATATCATGAATAGTATCCAACTACTGCGTGTACTTACTCAAATTTCTTTTCAGTCCGTCAACATTATCAAGATTATCTTGTAGACAACTACAAAATATGCATATTATTTAACAGAGTTTAAACTTGTTGCCATTTTCTATTTTCTGTCTTTACAATAAAAGTAGATGGGCATAAACAAATAGAACACTTCTGCTTATATTCATTTACCACAGACAACCTTTGATATGGAAATCTTATTTCATGTGTCACAAAAACTATACTGATTATATAATATGAGGTCAAGGTCAGGTAAATCCTGTCACCTTAAAATGATCAATTGTAAAGGTCAAAGTGAGGTGAAAACTGTAAAACATGCATGTATTTCTTTCAAGCAATTAATATACCCAAATTATTCCTTAAATTAAAAAAGTAGTAGTCCTCACACCTTGATAATACATTTTGTTTATTTAGTCTTTAAATCAAGGTCAAGGACAACAGGACTACTTCAGATCATTAGGCATCTGAATACTGATAACTTATCCGTTGGATATTCTGAAAAAAAGCTTTATTCACTCTACCAACAGTTTAGAATTTACATATATGATTATGTCCCATGCATTTATTTTAGAAGCATAAAAACAGACACAGTGATTGAACAACAGCTATATAATTATCCTAGCTGTTATCAAATTTGTAAGTAATCATGCATGATCAGCCAGAAAATGATTAAAAGAGAAACATAACAGCTAAATATGCAATTCCAATTCAGATTCTGGAAAGAAAAGAACATTTCTCGATATTCATAGAAAAAACTTTAGAGTATCACAACCTGGTCATGCTGGTGTCATTCCGAGTAAGACAGAATACATATATTTAGCTGCTGATAACATTGATGAAAAGCTACAACTCTGTCTAGTCACTGAGAAGTGCTACAATGTTTATATATAAGCAACACATAAACAGTAACAAGAAAGGCTGTTAACCTGCGAAATTTAAGACAGCAGTAACTTATCACAAGTGGTTGCACTGTTAAATGACAAAAATAAAACATGTAAACTAAAAATTTTCGCAGAAAAGGTACATTTAGTAGTTTATTTGGCCCAAAAATAAAACTGGTCTCTAAGTAGCCGGATCGTCCTGAATTTGCATGAAATATTTGCTCTTGGAAATAAGGCAAACAACAATCAATTAATAAATGATTAATGTATAAGTTGTTAGCCAGTATTTTACTCATAATAGGTAATGGAAACATCTGGTTTCAGTCATTTTCATATATATGAACAAAAAATCCTTATCAAAGGCATATATTTTTGAAAATACAAAAAAGTATCATGGAAATGATATTACTGGATTAAGATGGATCTTGTATTGTGTTGAGAGTAAATACATTTGTACATTTCTATTGTAATCTAGCTAGCTCCTACCTGTATGTTTTGGATTGGTTTTTTTCAGCAGTATTAGCTCTTCTCAGACTAAAATTTCCAAACTGCTTCTCCATTCAAGTCCGACATCTGCTGTCATCTGTCATTTCCAAGTGTTTTACTTTGTCTCCTGTGCACTTAACATGAGTAACCATTTTATACTTTCTGCAAAGATAAAAAAAAATCTTGTTATAATCATGTGAAAATATAATAGATATAAAATTATAACCAAAATTATAATTAAAAGCCAAATTTTAATAATGATATTGCAATGAACTGTCACAGAGGCTACCTATTTTCCAATCTTTTGTATTATTTTTTCACCTTGTGTCCATTCATTGCAATTATACCATCTTGATAGACAAAGATGGAAGGATTATATGCACATAAATCTGGTTTAAGCACGACACATTGTGCTCCTGTACAGTCAGGCAGGGATCTTGACCATGTGTTGTTAGTTGTCTTTGTTTGCTCATCTTTATTTTCTCAGAGGAGATGGACCATTCTCCATCTGGCAGGTTGTCCCCAACATGCTCAACATAAACATGAAACTTAATAAATAGGCTGTTATTTTTCTTGTTTGAATTGTTTCACATTTTTCATGATGGGGCCTTTTATAGCTGACTATACAGTGTATTTTTCACAATTTTGAAGACTGTACAGTGGCTTATAATTGCTTACATCCACTTCATTTGAAAGCTGGTGGACAGTTGTCAGTGATTGAACAACAGTATATTAATATTCTCAAATTTGTAAATCATCCTCAAAATCATGATCAGCCTGAAAAGGATAAAAAGAAACCTAACAGCTAAAAATGAATTCCAGTTCAGATTATTGAAAGAAAAGAAAATTTCTATATATACAGAAACTGATGCTAAAATTGATGAAAAGCTACAACTCTATCTAGTCACTGAGAAGTGCTACAATGTTAATATATCAGCAGCACATAAACAGTAACAAGAAAGGCTGTTAACCTGTGAAATTTTAGACAGCAGTAATTTCATGATTTAAAATTAACAGATTACTGAAGAAAACAGAAACTACATGACACTAAACAGAAAACTGCACTTCCATTAGACCAGTACATCATGTCCTTACTATGAAATCACGTTCTCTCACACTTTCTCTCCCTCTCTACATACCACTCTCAATCATATACCCTCACCCTCTCAATTATTCTCTTTTTCTCCCTCCTTTTCTCACCCTTTCACCTTTCATGACAACCTTAGCCACCTATCACCTATTCACCTTCTGCTTGGTGTTAAGTCCCTATCAGAAAAGTTGGTTAGTAGATGAATACAATTTTTATAAGATGTACCAGAAATGGAAGATGATTTTAGAAATATGATCGAAATTTAGAAGTAACTGACATGAAATATATTAGATATATGATACTGAGCCACTTTTGAAAAATGTAGTTCTTTTATTTTCTACACATAATGGTCATCATAGCATTCGAACAAAAGATTAACAGCCAAGGTTACAGAAAGCCAACTTGTGTAATGTAAATTTGAAAATAGAATGCTATTTTGATTGATAATCATTATGAATGCCAAAAGTGTATATTTAACTCTTAATTTTGAAGTGTTTTTGGTGTGTTGATGAAAAAATATCAAAAAATGAAAAAAATGTAAATGAAAAATGCCAAATGGTAATACAATCCAAGTAGTTAATATTTAAAGCAAAAAGCCAAATGAAAAAATGCCAAAGTTTAAAAATGCCAAATGGTATTTAAAAAAAATACCTGTCTGCTTGTACTAGCCAGCCGGCCTGTGGGTTAGCTGGACTTTAAGGTGCTAGTTCACCAAGACAAATGCCCACAGTAAGACACCTTTCTTTTCCTTTTGGAGTACCAGTTTTTAAGTCTATAATTTGACTTGGGGGCTTAATTTTAACTGAAAAAAGATAAAAACAGTCTCCTGTACAATTTAAAAATTTTGTCATAGAAAGTAAATATTCCCTTTGCCCCCCATTCCCAAATGGATAAAAAATTAAGTAAAATATCCTTCATTTCCCAACTAAAATATTCATAAAATGGCCTATCCACCACACCTGGTCAGACTGAGCCACCAGGCTAGGCTCAGTCTTAAAGATTTTTTTGACCTAGCCATCGAGCTTGGTCAGATTGAGCCACCAGGCTAGGCTCATTGGGAAGACTGAGCCACCAGGCTAGGCTCAGTCTTAAAGATTTTTTTCACCTAGCTATCGAGCTTGGTCAGATTGAGCCACCAGGCTAGGCTCACTGAGGAATCGCACTCAGTTCGTACAAATAGTAGAAGATACTTGATATGTATGAAAGGGGACGTTACTATACCTAAAAGGGAGGTATAGCATCTGTGAACCCTAAACACAGAGACCGGCTTAACTTCGCCATACGTATCATTAATAGTATCCAACTACTGCGTGTACTTACTCAAATTTATTTTCAGTCCGTCAACATTATCAAGATTATCTTGTAGACAACTATAAAATATGCATATTATTTAACAGAGTTTAAACTTGTTGCCATTTTTTTCTATTTTCTCTCTTTACAATAAAAGTAGATGGGCATAAACAAATAGAACACTTCTGTTTATTCATTTACCACAGACAACCTTTGATATGGAAATCTTATTTCATGTGTCACAAAAACTATACTGATTATATAATATGAGGTCAAGGTCAGGTAAATCCTGTCACCTTAATATGATCAATTGTAAAGGTCAAAGTGAGGTGAAAACTGTAAAACATGCATGTATTTCTTTCAAGCAATTAATATACCCAAATTATACCTTAAATTAAAAAAGTAGTAGTCCTCACACCTTGATAATACATTTTGTTTATTTAGTCTTTAAATCAAGGTCAAGGACAACAGGACTACTTCAGATCATTAGGCATCTGAATACTGATAACTTATCCGTTGGATGTTCTGAAAAAAAGCTTTATGAAATTTTGTTCACCCTACCAACAGTTTAGAATTTACATATATGATTATGTCCCATGCATTTGTTTTAGAAGCATAAAAACAGACACAGTGATTGAACAACAGCTATAAAATTATCCTAGCTTCAAATTTGTACATAATCATGCATGATCAGCCAGAAAATGATTAAAAGAGAAACATAATGTTCAGCTAAATATGCAATTCCAATTATGATTCTGGAAAGAAAAGAACATTTCTCGATATTCATAGAAAAAACATTGGAGTATCACAACCTGGTCATGCTGGTGTCATTCCGAGTAAGACAGAATACATATATTTAGCTGCTGCTAAAATTGATGAAAAGCTACAACTCTATCTAGTCACTGAGAAGTGCTACAATGTTTATATATAAGCAGCACATAAACAGTAACAAGAAAGGCTGTTAACCTGTGAAATTTAAGACAGCAGTAACTTATCACAAGTGGTTGCACTGTTAAATGACAAAAATAAAACAAAACAAACATGTAAACTAAATATTTTCACAGGAAAAGGTACATTTTATGGTTTATTTGGCCCAAAAATAAAACTGGTCTCTAAGTAGCCGGATCGTCCTGAATTTGCATGAAATATTTGCTACTGGAAATAAGGCAAACAACAATCAATTAATAAATGATTAATATATAAGTTGTTAGCCAGTATTTTACTCATAATAGGTAATGGAAACATCTGGTTTCAGTCATTTTCATATATATGAACAAAAAATCCTTATCAAAAGCATATATTTTTGAAAATACAAAAAAGTATCATGGAAATGATATTACTGGATTAAGATGGATCTTGTATTGTGTTGAGAGTAAATACATTTGTACATTTCTATTGTAATCTAGCTAGCTCCTACCTGTATGTTTTGGATTGGTTTTTTTCAGCAGTATTAGCTCTTCTCAGACTAAAATTTCCAAACTGCTTCTCCATTCAAGTCCGACATCTGCTGTCATCTGTCATTTCCAAGTGTTTTACTTTGTCTCCTGTGCACTTAACATGAGTAACCATTTTATACTTTCTGCAAAGATAAAAAAAATCTTGTTATAATCATGTGAAAATATAATAGATATAAAATTATAACCAAAATTATAATTAAAAGCCAAATTTTAATAATGATATTGCAATGAACTGTCACAGAGGCTACCTATTTTCCAATCTTTTGTATTATTTTTTCACCTTGTGTCCATTCATTGCAATTATACCATCTTGATAGACAAAGATGGAAGGATTATATGCACATAAATCTGGTTTAAGCACGACACATTGTGCTCCTGTACAGTCAGGCAGGGATCTTGACCATGTGTTGTTAGTTGTCTTTGTTTGCTCATCTTTATTTTCTCAGAGGAGATGGACCATTCTCCATCTGGCAGGTTGTTCCCAACATGCTCAACATAAACATGAAAAATAGATATAAAATTATAACCAAAATTATAATTAAAAGCCAAATTTTAATAATGATATTGCAATGAACTGTCACAGAGGCTACCTATTTTCCAATCTATTGTATTATTTTTTCACCTTGTGTCCATTCATTGCAATTATACCATCTTGATAGACAAAGATGGAAGGATTATATGCACATAAATCTGGTTTAAGCACGACACATTGTGCTCCTGTACAGTCAGGCAGGGATCTTGACCATGTGTTGTTAGTTGTCTTTGTTTGCTCATCTTTATTTTCTCAGAGGAGATGGACCATTCTCCATCTGGCAGGTTGTCCCCAACATGCTCAACATAAACATGAAACTTAATAAATAGGCTGTTATTTTTCTTGTTTGAATTGTTTCACATTTTTCATGATGGGGCCTTTTATAGCTGACTATACAGTGTATTTTTCACAATTTTGAAGACTGTACAGTGGCTTATAATTCCTTACATCCACTTCATTTGAAAGCTGGTGGACAGTTGTCAGTGATTGAACAACAGTATATTAATATCCTCAAATTTGTAAATCATCCTCAAAATCATGATCAGCCTGAAAAGGATAAAAAGAAACCTAACAGCTAAAAATGAATTCCAGTTCAGATTATTGAAAGAAAAGAAAATTTCTATATATACAGAAACTGATGCTAAAATTGATGAAAAGCTACAACTCTATCTAGTCACTGAGAAGTGCTACAATGTTTATATATAAGCAGCACATAAACAGTAACAAGAAAGGCTGTTAACCTGTGAAATTTTAGACAGCAGTAATTTCATGATTTAAAATTAACAGATTACTGAAGAAAACAGAAACTACATGAGACTAAACAGAAAACTGCACTTCCATTAGACCAGTACATCATATCCTTACTATGAAATCACGTTCTCTCACACTTTCTCTCCCTCTCTACATACCACTCTCAATCATATACCCTCACCCTCTCAATCATTCTCTTTTTCTCCCTCCTTTTCTCACCCTTTCACCCTTTCATGACAACCTTAGCCATCTATCACCTATTCCCCTTCTGCTTGGTGTTAAGTCCCTATCAGAAAAGTTGGTTAGTAGATGAATACAATTTTTATAAGATGTACCAGAAATGGAAGATGATTTTACAAAAATGATCGAAATTTAAAAGTAACTGACATGAAATATATTAGATATATGATACTGAGCCACTTTTGAAAAATGTAGTTCTTTTATTTTCTACACATAATGGTCATCATAGCATTCGTACAAAAGATTAACAGCCAAGGTTACAGAAAGCCAAATTGTGTAATGTAAATTTGAAAATAGAATGCTATTTTGATTGATAATCATTATGAATGCCAAAAGTGTATATTTAACTCTTAATTTTAAAGTGTTTTTGGTGTGTTGATGAAAAAATATGTTGCAAAAAATGAAAAAAATGTAAATGAAAAATGCCAAATGGTAATAAAATCCAAGTAGTTAATATTTAAAGCAAAAAGCCAAATGAAAAACTGCCAAAGTTTAAAAATGCCAAATGGTATTTAAAAAAAATACCTGTCTGCTTGTACTAGCCAGCCGGCCTGTGGGTTAGCTGGACTTTAAGGTGCTAGTTCACCAAGACAAATGCCCACAGTAAGACACCTTTCTTTTCCTTTTGGAGTACCAGTTTTTAAGTCTATGATTTGACTTGGGGGCTTAATTTTAACTGAAAAAAGATAAAAACAGTCTCCTGTACAATTTAAAAATTTTGTCATAGAAAGTAAATATTCCCTTTGCCCCCCATTCCCAAATGGATAAAAAATTAAGTAAAATATGCTTCATTTCCCAACTAAAATGTTCATAAAATGGCCTATCCACCACACTTGGTCAGATTGAGCCACCAAGCTAGGCTCATTGGGAAGACTGAGCCACCAGGCTAGGCTCAGTCTTAAAGATTTTTTTGACCTAGCCATCGAGCTTGGTCAGATTGAGCAACCAAGCTAGGCTCATTGGGAAGACTGAGCCACCAGGCTAGGCTCAGTCTTAAAGATTTTTTTGACCTAGCCATCGAGCTTGGTCAGATTGAGCCACCAGGCTAGGCTCACTGAGGAATCGCACTCAGTTCGTACAAATAGTAGAAGATACTTGATATGTATGAAAGGGGACGTTACTATACCTAAAAGGGAGGTATAGCATCTGTGAACCCTAAACACAGAGACCGGCTTTACTTCGCCATACGTATCATAAATAGTATCCAACTACTGCGTGTACTTACTCAAATTTATTTTCAGTCCGTCAACATTATCAAGATTATCTTGTAGACAACTATAAAATATGCATATTATTTAACAGAGTTTAAACTTGTTGCCATTTTTTCTATTTTCTCTCTTTACAATAAAAGTAGATGGGCATAAACAAATAGAACACTTCTGTTTATTCATTTACCACAGACAACCTTTGATATGGAAATCTTATTTCATGTGTCACAAAAACTATACTGATTATATAATATGAGGTCA